CCTGTGTGAATTCTCTAAATATAATTAAAGTAATCCCTCAATTATACATTATAGAAGAGGAGGAATGTAGTCATTTCTCCTGAGCAAGAAATAAATAGAGAATCTTTGAGAATGTCCCTGAAGAGCCATTTGTATGTGTCCTTTGGCTTCCATGTTCCTCATTCATGACTGGACAAACTTAGTGACTTAAAACAACAACTGTTTCACAATGTCTCAAGATTTCGTGGGACAGGAATTTGAGCAGGTCACTCGGAGGTACCCAGCTGGCAGATGAGCGGGTCTGAAGTGCCCAAGGACAGAAGAAGGCTAAGATTGGCAGGGGACTCTTGAACAGTGGCATGGTGGTCTCTTACAAAGGGTCTCAGGACTCTCAGAATGAGTTTTCCAAGAAATCCAAGTAAAATCTCCAAGTCTTCTTATGACCTAGCCTCACAAGTGCCAGAACATCACTTCTTCCTCAACCAATTGGTCAAGGAAGGCACTAAAGCCAGGCCAGATTCAAGAAAAGGAGAATTAGACTCCGCCTCTCAATGGGAGAAATAGCAAAGAATGTACAGCCATCCTGACCACAATTACATAGTAAGTGAGAAATGTAAGAAATTATCTCAAGACAGCTACCCATGTGAGTTAGAACAGAGTTGACATTTGTGAGTGTTTTGTTCCTAATGGGAGACCTATTTCTACCCTGCCGGATGACTCATCTGGATGTTTGTTTGATTGGCACATGGCCCAGCCAATAGGAAAACTGGAAGCATTTGAAATTCCAAATATTGGATTCCCCCAGAATGGCCATACCTATGAAATGCAGTCTAGCTGTCATCACTTTTTAAAATTTCAGATGAAGTTCTCCTTAAAGTTGGGTAATGAGACACTCTAACAAAATAAATAAATTAAAAATATTTTTTTTTAAAAAAAAAAAGAGAGACATCCTGTTCCTAACAGAAGGAAAAGGTTCTCCTTGAGGTTCTCCACAATCCCTCATCTTTAACTTCTCTAAATCCATGAAAAGCAACAGTGGGAAGAGGAAAGAAAGAAAGAACTTAAGGACTCTAAGTAAAGGGATGAATTAAAGTCCCTGTGACTTATCAATTATTGGGGTTATTAAGCCATTTTTCTGCTTTATGAGTGTTTCTGAGAAATGATAACATCTTTCCTTAAATTTTTACAGTTGGGGAAATTACCAAATAACTATATGATCACATGAGTCTCAAAACAACTCTAGAAGATAAACGAGAAAGGTACTATTATTTTTCCTGTTTTGCAGAGGAAGAAACTAGCAACTTGACCAAAGTCTCTTGCCTCGTGTAAAAGGCAGTTCAAGTCCAGAACTCAGATCTTCCAATTCCACACCAAGTGTTCTTTAAATTGTGCTGCTGCCCTTGAATAAGCTCAGACATTTGGGCAAAAAAATATATATCTATCTACTTTCATATCAATACTGCATATTTAAGCCTGCAAGAATCATAAATATGCATTCAAAAATTTGTTTCATTTCTGCATTTTTCACCCAGAGTTTTATGTTCTCATTCCACAAATAGTCTACATTTTGTAGCCAGTGTATACCAAATTTGAATGTCTCAAAATAAATGACTTTTTTACTTATCCAAGAATAAATGGTACTCATCATACTTAGCAAGGACATCATGGTTTTGATTTTCAAAGTACTTTGCAAGCATCAGCTAATTAAGTCTCCCTGAGTCTTCAGTATGACAGTCATTTTCAAAATACCTCTCATTTCTCAGGAAAGTTCTCCATTCTGTCTTATGGATACAAATCAGCACATTTGTTCAGCTCCTAAAATAAGAATCTAAAGGCCATGAAATTATTTCCATCTATGTGCATCAAACACAATTATCTCAGTAAGACAAAAATGTCCAGAGACTGGTCTGAAGGACCAAATGGAACACAACAAAAGGACTCAGGGATGTTTCAAGACTAGATGTTGGAATTTCCCACAAGGTCCTTCAAAAATACAACACAGGCATCTTTTTCATAAATGAAACTTGATGTGGTTTCTTGCTTAGCTCATTCTAAATGACATGACCGTATTCTGCCTTTAAATTTATGTTTTTAATTTTACAACGGAAATAAACTCCTAAAAAAAAAAAACATTTCACCCTAGGATTCAGTAATAATCAGGGACCATAAAAGAAATCTTGGGCTCTCAAAAAGTTTGCACAATTGGCCATCTGAGGTTACGTGGCAAACCCTATATTTGTTCTCTCCCTTAGAATGTCTTCCCTACAGCTATGCCAGGATTCTCAGCAGTTTAGTAGCTCCTTTGGGTTAAGACCAAAGCAAAAATACCTTTTACCTGAGAGCAGAAAGATATTAATTCAGGAATATTCTTATCTTCCAAGTATCACTAGATGCATATAAAAAAATAGGATTTAGGCCGGGCGAGGTGGCTCACACCTGTAATCCTAGCACTCTAGGAGGCCGAGGCAGGAGGATCGCTCAAGGTCAGGAGTTCAAAACCAGCCTGAGCAAGAGCAAGACCCCGTCTCTACTATAAATAGAAAGAAATTAATTGGCCAACTAATATATATATATATATAATTAGCCGGGCGTGGTGGCGCATGCCTGTAGTCCCAGCTACTTGGGAGGCTGAGGCAGAAGGATCGCTTGAGCCCAGGAGTTGGAGGTTGCTGTGAGAGAGGCTGATGCCACGGCACTTATTCTAGCCTGGGCAACAAAGTGAGAGTCTGTCTCAAAATAAATAGATAAATAAATAAAAATTAAAAAGTAGGATTTAAATGTATAGACTATATAACACAAGTGAGTTGTTTTTCACGAGTGAACTAAATGGAAAAAAATAGCAAAGAATAGTATGTATGTTCTGGAACTAGGGCTCTTGGGCAGCTTGAGATAACCTAGGGGAGGAAGGTATGGAAGAAGGAAGGAGAAAAAGTAAGGTTCTTTTCTCTTATATCACACTTAATACAAGATGTGCATTTCACGTATATCGAAAGTAATACAAGGCTAATGACCATAATAATAATATTGATGAGAGGCAGCAGGCAGAGAAATGGAAATAATAATCACTTATATGTGTAAAGTTGCAAAGAGCTTCTGCACCTCAAAGTTGCACCTCAAAATTGTTACCCTACTACTAGTAACCCCATTCCATAGATGAAGTTTGGGAAGATTAAGTAATTTGCTGGAGGTAGCGTTTAGTACCTGGCAGAGCCAGGGCCCAATGCCGGAACCTCTGACTTCTATTCTATAATCCATTCCACTAGACCATGCCGTGAGAACACCAAAGACTGATTCCAAAGCTCAGCATTCTAATCTTTGCTCCTCTTGAGCTTGGTACATCTGGCCAAATAATTTAGATTCTTTGTGCTTCTGTATCTTTATATTTAAATATTATCTTCCTCCTTTCCTCACTATAGAATGAGAGAGTATACAGAAAAACATTTTATAAACTGCGAAATGCTATATAAATACAAGGAATGTGTGACTACGTCCATCTTAATGAATTAATATTCCCGAAAACTCTGCCTCAACACAACCTTACCGTTAAGCTTTCCTCCTTTTTGTCTTAAAGAACAAAGAATCTCTCTTTTTTTCCAAACTTAAACCTTCCACCTGTGCTTTAATATTAGCCCAGAAAACATTTATCGAAGTCTTACCAACACTGTATCATCTCACTGAACCTTCACTTCATTTTATAGCAATGAACTGAAGCACAAAAAAATGCAAAATTTGCCCCAAGATTATGCAAATTAGTATTAGGGCCTAGGCAGTCCTATTTCAGAGCCTGTGCCTCTAATTGTTCTGCAATTCTGTCTTGCCAGTGGGTCAGGCAACTGGTCTGTTTTTCCCTGTTTCACACACCTATTGCTGTGTAACCATCTACCCCTAATTAAAGTCATATCATTTGCTCATGATTCTGTAATCTGGACTGGGCTCAGCTGGGTGATTCTTCTGCTGATTTTGCCTGGAGTTACACATGTGGCTAAACTAGATCTTCCCCCTATAATCCGCCATCTTGGTGATTAACACCATCATTCACCCTAGTTTATTCAAACTAGAAATGTGATAACTCAAGACTCTTCCTTTTCATATTCCCACAATACCTGTTATAATTAGTCATTACGTTTTATGAGTTTTTCCTTTTGTTATGTATGAGGAATAATCCAGTGGTGTGCTGGTAAGTGTTTAACAACTGGTTTGGGGAGGGAAGAATAGCATTTGATGGTTTTCATGCTGTGAGCCTCCCACCATGACTGGTTTTGAGTTAACACTATGACATCATTGAACAGAATTGAGAAGGGACATGAAGTAAGCGCACATTATATAGTATCTCCACCTAGAGATATAATGGCCATAAATAACCTCAAGAGAGTAGATAACAGTAAAATGTAGTAAAATCATGAAGTGATGAGTTTTGAGTATTTATATCCTTTCATTTTAATTTTAACATGAAACCTCTGGATTTTAAAATGCTGGTTTGAAATATACCATGCCTACCAAACCAAACTTATCCACAGGCCCCCTCCAAATCACAGATTGCCAATTGAGCGCATCAATCGTTAGGTGAACATTGATGTCCTCTAGTCATCATCTAGACTCTGTGGTAGTGCAATGTTCTATTACTAAAAATTTTCAGTGAATGAGTATTTTTCTCTACCAGTTTGTTTCACCCAAACCTGACATACCATATTACTTCATTTCGCGACTTTTATCTTCATTACAAATACTCACCGATCTTTAGACCCGAGATCTACACAGAGCCTTTACACACACAGTCCTAAATGGAGATAAGTTTTGCTGAATCCATGTGGTCCAAGAAATCAAGGAGTCAATTTTCACAGCGACGCAATTGAGTAAGAGCTGTCATTGATCTGTTTTTTCAGACATGTTAGTCCACAAGCATAGCAATTAGCTTCAAATACAAAGGACAGGACTGAGCTCAGCATTGGCTAACGTTACCTTTTAATCTTTCATAAGGACACCTTTACCTACCACCAATAATTAATCTTCTTGGTTCACAGGTCTAGAAAGCCATGAAGACTCTGCTTTTCTTCCTCTACATCTTGGGAGCTGCAGCTGCGATCCCGGTAAATTTCCTTTCTTCTGTTGTTGCATCTTTCTCTCCCCTTGACATTTAGTTTAGAAATCCTCTATTTAAAAGAAAATGTTCTTACTAGTGGTTTGAAATTCTCTTTTTTATTTTAAGTATATTCTTCATTGCCCAAGCAATGAATGGATAACTCAAAAAATCGATGTAACATATATATATATTTTTGATGTAATGTATTTTTTTTTTTTTTGAGGCAGAGTCTCACTTTGTTGCCCAGGCTAGAATGAGTGCCATGGCATCAGCCTAGCTCACAGCAACCTCAAACTCCTGGGCTCGAGCAATTCTGCTGCCTCAACCTCCTGAGTAGCTGGGACTACAGGCATGTGCCACCATGCCCGGCTAATTTTTTCTATATATATTAGTTGGCCAATTAATTTCTTTCTGTTTATAGTAGAGACGGGGTCTCGCTCTTGCTCAGGCTGGTTTCGAACTCCTGACCTTGAGCAATCCACCCACCTCGGCCTCCCAAAGTGCTAGGATTACAGGCGTGAGCCACCTCGCCCGGCTGATGTAATGTATTTTTAAAAAAGCTTTTTTCAGAACCATGAGTTTCTACAAGATGCAATAAATATGCAGCAGAAAGTGTGGGCTATCAGTTTATTAGCCACAGAATATGCGCAAATACCAAAGGGACAGGAAGAAATAAATTCTCCTATAGGATCTCATCACAGTGGTATTACGAATCTAAGAATTTAACTTAAGAGTCCAAGTTCACACCTTCCAGCAGCATTTTCTGCAAGATCAATATAGTCTGGCTGAGAAATTTTGGAAGTCTGTAATAAAAACAGGAACCAATTGGTTAAGGGCAGGAAATGATATGGTAATCATAAATTGGCTCCAAACTCATCCTTCCAAGCAAGCACGCTGGAAGTAGATAGGACTAGAACATTCTCTTCATAGTCAGATATCCTGGGCCCACTGTTCACACAGAAGTGAAGCAGCCGTGTACAAATTATATCATTTTAGACCATGTCAGCAGCCCCAAATCAAAATGAAACTTAAAAAAAAACAAAGTGGAACCATGGCTTGAATGATCATTTGGAATGATCCATGAATGATCTATCATCCTTAATTAAAACAAAGCACCGGGCGTGGTGGCTCACGCCTGTAATCCTAGAACTCTGGGAGGCCGAGACGGGAGGATCACTCAAGGTCAGGAGTTCGAAATCAGCCCGAGCAAGAGCGAGACCTCGTCTCTACTAAAAATAGAAAGAAATTAATCGGTCAACTAAAAATACATAAAAAATTAGCCGGGCATGGTGGTGCATGTCTGTAATCCCAACAGGAGGATTGTTGGAGCTCAGGATTTCGAGACCAGCCTGAGCAAGAGCGAGACTCTGTCTCTACTAAAAATAGAAACAAATTATCTGGACAACTAAAAATATATATAGAAAAAATTAGCCGGGCATGGTGGCGCATGCCTGTGGTCCCAGCTACTCGGGAGGCTGAGGCAGGAGCATCGCTTGAGCCCAGGAGTTGGAGGTTGCTGTTAGTGAGGCTGACACCATGGCACTCTAGCCCGGGCAGCAGAGTGAGACTCTGTCTCAAAAAAAAAAAAAAAAAAAAAAAAAAAAATTAAATTAACACTTAAAAAATAAAATAAAACAAAGGATTTGTGCCATTTTTTTTTCTTTTTCATCAAATGGAAGAATCAGCCTTCCTTTAAATAGACAAAACTATTTCTCTGTTTTCCCCTCATCCCTCCCTCCGTCTCTAGGTTTAGGATTCTGCCCTTGCTTTTTGGTTAAGTTGGTGGCTAGCTTCTGGCTGGCAGATGTGTCAACAAAAAACAAAGTCCCTGCCACCCACACCAAGACGTTCTTAGAAAAGAGAATTTCTGACCACAACTAAGAATCATGCTTAAGTAGGGTGGAGCTACCTACCCCAGCTGAAATTATACATTGTAGCCTGAAATTGCAAAAGGGAGACAAATTAACATTCAACACAGAAAGGAACACCCACAAAACCATTGTTTTCTCCCCAAATTGTGTTTTACCTTTGGAGCAGTTGCTGCTATATAAATAGGCATCAAAAAAGTGTCTTTGAACCAAGTGTTTGAATAGCACACCTACATACAGACACATTCTAGATGTTTCATTTCTGGGGCAATTTATGATCAGGCAGACCCAGCCAAATGCTGAACAGATAAATACCTTCTTATAGGATTGACCTATTAAAAATTTGTTATTATTTTCCCAGCCTGCCTGAATTCTCCAGATCTAGGTGACTTCTGTGTGATTGGGAGATTCCAAATGAATTGCCACGTTAAATAAATGTAGACATGGACGTAATGATAAAACAGAGTTTCGATTTCAGAATATTTCTGGAAGAAAAAAAGCTTCCATGTTTTTTGTGCATTTCTTCCCACTTGGGGCGGGGCGGTGGGTAGAGAGTGAGGGGGTGGGAGAGAGTGAACCGTTCTCCACTAATATCTTAAAATCCAATAGCTTAAATCTAATAGCTTAAAATCTAATAGCTTAAAATCTCTCCCACCCATGGTCTTCCATCATGCTCGGTTGACAAACTCTGCAAAGTGTGCAAGAAAGCAAACCAAAACTAAAATAAATCCTGTACTCCCTGGCTTTCTTTGTATCATACAATCAGCAGTACTGGATCTGCTAATAGAATCAAAATGAGTCAATCCAAAAATAATCTGAGTTTTATACTTAACACCTGGATATGTTTGCCAACTGAGTGTGCAAACATTTCCATAATAAAGATCACCAGTGAATATCTGCCTCAGTTGCTGGGCAGTGCATGTTATAACCACGGGATGGTATTACTACTAGCAATGGTAATTTGCAGTTGAGTAACTCCTTAGCATTTATGACATAGTTTGTATATGTAAGCTTCTTTTGATATTTCTGCTCACTCGGTATTTCTTTCCACCTTGAGAGATGGCAGGGTAGAAATTAAGGACCTGTCAAGCTACAGATAGTAAGTCGTAATCCTAGCACTCTGGGATCGTTTGAGCTCAGGAGTTCGAGACCAGCCTGAGGAAGAGCGGAGACCCCAACTCTACTAAAAAAATAGAAAGAAATAATTGGCCAACTAAAAATATATAGAAAAAATTATCCGAGCATGATGGCGCATGCCTGTAGTCCCAGCTACTCGGGAGGCTGAGGCAGGAGGATCGCTTGAACCCAGGAGTTGGAGGTTGCTGTGAGCGAGGCTGATGCCACGGCACTCACTCTAGCCCGGGCAACAGAGTGAGACTCCATCTCAAAAAAAAAAAAAAAAAAAAAAAGCAAATAAATATTGAGTGAAAAGATTTATAACATTTTCTGCAAATTATCAGTGAGTACTTAAATGTTAAATTAAGAAAATGTATATTTCAGACATACATGATCTTTATCAATGAAAAAAAAAGAAAAAAAATAAATAAAAAAAAAAAGAAAAAAAAAGAAAATGTATAATACTATATCCTATGGTTAATTTTATTTGACTTCAGCTTTCTGCTAAATAACACTTTTCAAAAATTATAAAGTATGAATGCTTTGTAAAAGTTCGAAAAACACAGGAAATAATTCCAAAACTCAAACATTACCATTATTGAAATCCTTTTGTTCTATTTTCACCCAGTTTCTGCATATATAACCTTTTCTTAAATATGATTGAGATTCTTTCTTTCACCTAACATTATATTCTGGGATTTGTTCGTATCCTCAAAAACTCTAGAGGATATCTTTTAATCAATAATATGAATGAAGTATATTGCTACTGATAATCATGGCAACAAAAGAGTACCTAGCAGTTTTTAAAATTAGCATCTAGACAGGAATGACACAAACTAGTTTTAATTTTTTTTCAGACAAATGCAAAGTTCTTATCTGATCATTCCAAACCAACTGCTGAAACAGGAACACCTGACAACACTGCAACCCCCATTTTATGGGATGATGATGATGCCGAAAACGAAAAGGAAACTGTAGAATCCATAGAAGACAATCCCAACCATGAGGTAAAAGTATTATCATTATGTTAGTATAATTTAATTCTCCAAAGGTCTCAGTTTCGGCTGGGTGCAGTGGCTCACGCCTGTAATCCTAGCACTCTGGGAGGCCGAGGTGGGAGGATCGCTTGAGGTCGGGAGTTCGAGACCAGCCTGAGCAAGAGCAAGACCCCCATCTCTACTAAAAATAGAAAGAAAATTTAAACGGCCAACTAAAATATATAGAAAAATTAGCCGGGCATGGTGGCGCATGCCTGTAGTCCCAGCTACTTGGGAGGCTGAGGCGGGAGGATCGCTTGAGCCCAGGAGTTTGAGGTTGCTGTGAGCTAGGATGATGCCATGGCACTCTAGCCAGGGTGACAGAGCAAGACTCTGTCTCAAAGAAAAAATGTCTCAGTTTCAAAGCATGGTCAAAGAGATTACCTATTCATGTCTCAGTTTAATTTTTCAAAACATTACGATCGCATCAGCTATCTCCAATCACTAGAAGAATCGTGAGGCTGAATGAGTTCTGCTCCTCGGGCGGAGGTGCTATATAATTGTTCCATCTCACAAATTTCAAACTCGGGTGAAACCTGTGGCTATAGAATGTAAGGACTATCATAGATATGTTTACATGATAATGTGTGAAGGCAAAGAATAATGGATATTAAATGTTGGCTTAGGAATGATAAATATGATGACATGATCATTTGTTTCAAGAATAAACTTTCTTTTAAGGCTGAAAAGTCTTCAATACTAAAGTCAAAAGGGGAAAGCCAGGAGCAGTCAGCAGAACAGGGCGAGAGTTATAGCCAAGACCTGGGGTCGAAGGATCCAGAGGACAGTGACGGGGACTTGAGTGTCAATTTGGGGCACACACCAACTGAAGGCACGTTGGACCTACCGGAAGGTACAGAGGAGCCTCCAAAGGAAAAACTCCCAGAGAACATCCATCTCCCTGCTTCCGATGCGAGCTCCTTTGAGGAGCCTAACAATGAAGAAAGCATCACAGAGCTTGAGGAAAACCAAGAACAACCTACAAGTGATTCCCATCATCAGCTGAATAGGAGCAATAAACACAGCCAAGACCTGAGGGACCAAGGAAACCAAGAGCAGGATCCAAATATTCCCAATGGAGAAGAAGAGGAGGAGGAGGAGGAGGAGGAGGAAAAAGAGCCAGGTGACGTGGGTGCCCACGTTGATAACCAAGAAAAGGAGAGAGAATTTCCCAAGGAGCATCCTGGCAGCCAGCGGGAAGATGGCAATACTCAATCTGATGATATTTTGGAAGAGTCTGATCAACCAACGCAAGTAAGCAAGTCGCAGAAGGAGGAGTTTGAGCAAGGTAACCAAGACCAAGAAGAGGGTACCTCCGACACAGAAATGGAAGAGGAAGATGCATCAGACATCAATAGGCACATTCCGGGGACGGAATGGCAGAGCCAAGAGGGTAGACCTGGCCTTGACGCTGTCAGCAGCAGCGAGGAGAATGATAAAAAGACTGTCCCTGAGGCTTTGCTCCTGGAACCTACTGATGGCGGTGACGTCATGCCCCAAAACCCCGGTGCCAGTGATGATGGGGCTGAAGATGGCCCCAAGCCCAGCTCAAGGGATGACGACCTCATCCCAGGCCAGGCCTTTCTGGAGGGAGAAAGAGCTCAATCCAATTACCATCATAGCAAGGACGAGGAGCAAAGAGAAGGAGCACATGGGAACGAAAGCGCAGAGACCACTGGAACCGGAGAACGCCCAGAGGTAAGATTATTTACAGTGTCACCTGTCCAACAATGTCACCGTCATCAAAGAACAGCGACAACCTTGCCCTGTGTTCTCACAATCTCTTGCGTGCATTTCTGTCCGCACGTTACCGAGATATATGATGCTTATTTATTTTTAGTTCGATCTCCATCGTTGGGCTGACAATACCTGTTTTATTGGGGTTCCCTTAGAAGCAGACCCCGGATTTGAATGCTGTTTATTCTAGAAATGCAGGGAGCAAAGATGGAAGAGTGGAGAAAGTGTTAACAGGGCAGGAAAGGAAGCTAACAGAAGGAACATGATGGAAGTCATGTAAAGAAAATTCCTTAGAATTATTCCATTTGGGGAGCAAGGGAGCTAGGGCTGATTTGGGCTTATTTTGCTAGGGGAGGTACAAATGTCTCAGCACTTCCAGTCTGTTCTTTGAGCAGGCCAAGCAGATTGCCATGGTTTTCCAGGCACAGAGATATAGATACTGGCAGTTGAAAGTCGCTGGAACTAGCTGGAATGATCGATTATGACAGAACTGGAGGGTGGAGGGAGCAATTGATTTGCTCCAAACAGGCGCCATGTTGTTTTCAAGTTCAATCACCAGCGTCTAACAAAATGCCTCTAACACAATAAAAGATCCCAGCAGTATCTGTTGAATTAGCTGTGAAGATTAAGGTACTATTTTATTAAGCAAACACATATCAAAACGAGAATCTGGAAACTGCAGCTGGATAGGGTCAGGGAGGAAGCATACGGCTATTTGGTTGTTTAATCATTTGGCGTTTTCGTGCCAAACCCTACCGGCCACCTCCAAGAGGACTAGGCACAGCTTTTGTCGAGCAAGGTCAATAGTGACCTCAATTAGGGAGAACTCTGTTGCCATGGTAACGTAGGTGTGTGTGTGTGTGTGTGTGTGTGTGTGTGTGTGTGTGTGTTTTCTTACACTTTAAAAACCCGGTAAGAAAGCTTTAACCAACAACCTCATGGAGATTAGCAATGCAACCCTGCCTTAACCACAGAATCACAAGGGTAACACCTCATTTCTAGGGTTTTCCCAAATCCAAAGGGGAGAGTCTTAATGAGTCATCCAAGACACAGCGCTAAATCCAATCGATGAAGATGGAATTAATTGCTCTCCAAGGGTAGACGGTGGTCTACACTCCATAGTTGCCACTGGCTTCCCTTTTGGAGATCTGAAACCGGTTTGGGCGTGGAAAAAACTGTGAAATTTTGCACAGTGGGAATATACATGAAGTAGTGGCTCTCTCCCCTTAATAGGTTTAACTTCTGCTTTTGTTCTTCTAAAGGCCAAGAAAGCATCGAATGAAGATGAAAGCTCCTCGAATGAAGACAAATCATCAAGTGAAGACAATGGGAGGCTGCCCAGTGTTGGTGAGTGTGCACAGAGCAAGCCGTTGGTGACATCTGCCACTTTGGCCTTGCCCCTCCCCCCCTTCCTTCCTGCAATGCTCTCCAAGGAAATGCTCCCATAAATTGTTGGTATTTACCTGTGCATATTCAATACACAACGGGAGTAAATGTGTTTACAAACTGGAAGTCTCGTTGAGATATTATTAGTGACAAAGCTAGAGTTCTTTCTCCCTAAATCCTTTTGCTTCTGGGGAAGAATTAATTCTACTTTATGTCTTCGAAAGCCCATAACTTGCTAGTGAATTTAGATCCCATAGGCCCTAATTCCTACAACAATCACAATTAAGGCCCTAATTCCTACCACAATCACAAACGTTTTTGAGTTTCAGCACAACAAAATTCTCATGGCTTGTGTGACTCCTGAATGGCTTGTACAACACGGCACTAGAGACTTCAGACTGTGGCCATTTCAGGCAGGCCAAGAACAGCTCTCTGTTCTTTGTACAGCTCCGATCCAAACTGACGCAAGAGGAAATCTAGACTGTCGCATAAAATAGTCTGGCGTTAGAAGGTTCCATCTGGAAACTGACACATCAGTTGAAGTGGTTTCTGATATTTTCCCACTTCCAAATTTTCAAATTTCAAAGGTTTCACATTTTCTCCAATCTTAGTGGAAATGGAGCTGATAGTCTGAGTGAATTTGCATTTGCATACTCCGTTCAGCCTTGTCCATGTTTCCTGTCCAAACTTTCTTGCTAGATGCTTGCATGAGCTTCCAGTGCAAAAGAGGACACGTTTGCAAGGCAGACCAGCAGGGAAGACCCCACTGTGTTTGCCAAGACCCGGTGGCTTGTCCCCCAACTAAACTGCTTGACCAAGTAAGTATTCTATAAAATAGTCTTGAAGAGGTTCCAAAAGGTGAGTGCTATGAGTGAAAAGAGTTTGCAATGGAAATGCTTTGTTAAAAAAAAAAAAAAAAGCAGATGAGATGCCCAAGTTATCATACAATATTTGAAGTAATATTGAACAGGAACAAATGCCAACAAAATCAAAGAATTTCAACTGTGCCATGAAAAGGTAATATCGGCATTGGAGCTATAGAACTTACCTTAAAACTCATTTTAACGGGCTAGGCGCTGTGGCTCACCCCTGTAATCCTAGCACTCTGGGAGGCCGAGGCGGGGGAGGATCGCTCCAGGTCAGGAGTTCGAAACCAGCCTGAGCAAGAGAGAGACCCCCCCCCCGTCTCTACTAAAAAATAGAAAGAAATTAATTGGCCAACTAAAAATATATAGAAAAAATTAGCCAGGCATGGTGGTGCATGCCTGTAGCCCCAGCTACTCGGGAGGCTGAGGCAGGAGGATCGCTTGAGCCCAGGAGTTGGAGGTTGCTGTGAGCGAGGCTGACGCCACGGTACTCACTCTAGCCTGGGCAACAGAGTGAGACTCTGACTCAAATAAATAAATAAACAAAACAAAAACTCATTTAGGCTTGGAACATCTGCAGTTTTCATTCTACTGAGCTTATCTAGAGCTAAATAATTGGCATCACCACTGGCGTAGTTTACTTGATTTTTTTTATACCAAATGGGAGAATTATGATGTTAATAGTGTCACCTGCACCATTTATCAGACAGCCGAGGAGCCTTAAGACGCAGGGTGTTTTCCAATGAGCATTTGGCGCTGTCAGCTTTTTCTCTTGCTTGTCTTTCCTAGGTTTGTGGCACCGACAATCAGACCTACGCCAGTTCTTGTCATCTGTTTGCCACTAAGTGCAGAATGGAAGGGACCAAAAAGGGGCATCAACTACAACTGGATTATTTTGGAGCCTGCAAATGTAAGATTCCATCACTCCTGCCAACCCCCATTTCTGAGAAGGTTTGGGGTGAATCTGCCTACGCCTGATTTATCTACATGCAAACAGTGAACAGCTAGTGCAGCTCTGAACTCAGGCTGCACTTTAAAATCAACTGCAGGGACTTAAAAAATAAGAAGAATAGGCCGGGCGCGGTGGTTCATGCCTGTAATCCTAGCACTCTGGGAGGCCGAGACGGGATTGCTCAAGGTCAGGAGTTCGAAACCAGCCTGAGCAAGAGCGAGACCCTGTCTCTCCTAAAAATAGAAATTAATTGGCCAACTAAAAATATACAGAAAAAATTAGCCGGGCGTGGTGGCGCATGCCTGTAGTCCCAGCTACTCGGGAGGCTGAGGCAGGAGGATCGCTTGAGCCCAGGAGATTGAGGTTGCTGTGAGCGAGGCTGATGCCACGACACTCTAGCCTGGGCGACAGAGTGAGACTCTGTCTCAAAATAAATAAATAAAAATAAGAAGACTAATTCCCAGACTTTAACCCTAGGAAATTCTAATTTGATTGGACTACGTTGGAACCCTGGCATTGTTTTTTTTTTTTTTCATTTGTTTTGAAAGTAGCCTAGACAATTCTCACGTGCAGCCAGGGCTCCAAACCTCTATAATAATGTTATCTTCTTTAACAATACCGATGAGATCACTGGAATGCTGCTAAATTGTTTGCCCTCTTCCCGACTGAAGTGAAGCCTTTGCCAAGAAGTTTTCATGGCAACATATTCTTCCAGAAGTTTTTTGAAGTTGGCTTCCTTCCCCAGGATAATCTCAATTGCATCTGACTCCCCTTTCTGCTAAGTGATTCTCCACGTTAGGGGGGCCCACTCGCATCTCCGGGTCTCCTCTACTTGCAACCACAGGACAAAGAACACAGGAAGGTGACATTCTTCCACCCCCTGGACATTAGATGATTTGCTTTGTCCAGTGAAATGTGAGCCAAACTCAGGCATGGGAGTTCTGGGCAGAAGCATGTAAGAAGAGCTGGGGTCTGGTTCTCCGTGCTCTCTGTCCTTGTCACTACAGACCCTAAAGCCTCGTGTTGAGATGGTGGCCTCAAAAATTGGTGGCACCATCCCAAGCCCCACGGAGGCTGCCAAGAGCAGAGCCCTCCCGCCGGCTTGTCTTGGACTCGTAGCAGGATTGCAAAGTAGACTTGGGTTTCCTTAAGCCACTGAGATTCAGCATTATTTGTCACCATCGTATAAGCTAACCTTTCCTTTTTCTTCTTTTCCTCTAAAAAATAGCCCTTGCTGGCCGGGCGTGGTGGCTCACGCTTGTCATCCTAGGACTCTGGGAGGCCGAGGCGGGAGGATCGCTCGAGGTCAAGAGTTCGAGACCAGCCTGAGCAAGAGCGAGACCCCGTCTCTACTATAAATAGAAAGAAATTAATTGGCCAACTAATATATAGAGGGAAAAAAAAATTAGCCGGGCATGGTGGCACATGCCTGTAGTCCCAGCTACTCGGGAGGCTGAGGCAGGAGGATCGCTTGAGCCCAGGAGTTGGAGGTTGCTGTGAGCGAGGCTGACACCACGGCACTCACTCTAGCCTGGGCAACAAAGCGAGACTCTGTCTCAAAAAAAAAAAAAAAAAAAAAATAGCCCTTGTGCCCTCCACCTTTGAATTTCAACTCTGGTTGTACAGCAATGAATGCTCGTCCTAACTGCACCTCAAAATTATTCTTGGAACTTTAAACACACCCTAATGCTTAGGCTGTGCCCCACACCAATCAGATCAGAATTTCTGTGTACGGAAGCTGCCATTTGGTATGGTCTTTAAACACCCCAGGCAATTCTGTCGCGCTGCCACCAGGGTTGGGGACCCATGATGGTCCATCAGCTACCAGAAGCTCTTAAGCTTCTTTTTTTTTTTTTTTTTTTTGAGACAGAGTCTCACTGTTGCCCTGGCTAGAGTGAGTGCCGTGGCGTCAGCCTCACTCACAGCAACCTCCAACTCCTGGGCTCAAGCGATCCTCCTGCCTCAGCCTCCCGAGTAGCTGGGACTACAGGCATGCGCCACCGTGCCTGGCTGATTTTTTCTATTTTCAGTTAGAGACCACTCTCGCTCTTGCTCAGGCTGGTCTCGAACTCCTGACCTCAAGCGATCCTCCCGCCTCAGTCCCCCCACCCCAGAGTGCTAGGATGACAGGCGTGAGTCACCGTGCCCGGGCTCCAAAGCAATCCATGTAACCAAAGAGTGTGTGACCCCTGTCACATCCTGAAATTAATTAATTAATTAATTAATTGCATTTGCAAATAAAAAATATTTTCTGCCTGTGACAGCTATTCCTGCTTGTACGGACTTCGAGGTGGCTCAGTTTCCTCTACGGATGAGAGACTGGCTCAAGAATATCCTCATGCAGCTCTACGAGGCTAACTCCGAGCACACCGGGTACCTCAACGAGAAGCAGAGAAATAAAGTGAGTTATGGGCGGGTCAGCTTCCCAGGTGTTTGTCTACACCGCCTGAGGACAAAAGGTGTCGGGGGCAGGGGGGACTAGCTACCTCCACCTGTTGGCAGGAGCCCACTCTGCTTCCCCGGACGTGGTTAGCCCACCTGGATGAACAGCATAGGGGTGGCCACTACTGATGTCACGAGGTTTTGGGGACCCCCCCAAACCACCCGCTCCCCACCCAAGGGCTCCTTAACCCATACCCAGAGGAAGCTCTGGCTGAGCGAAGTCAACATGAATTCAGCATTTATAGAGTCAGGCCCAGACATATTATTTATTTATTTATATTTATATTTTTTATTTATTTTATTTATTTCTTTTTGAGACAGAGACTCACTCTGGTGTCCAGACTAGAGTGCCATGGCGTCAGCCTCGCTCACAGCAACCTCCAACTCCTGGGCTCAAGCGATCCTCCTGCCTCAGCCTCCCGAGTAGCTGGGACTACAGGCATGCGCCACCATGCCCGGCTAATTTTTTCCACATATTTTTAGTTGGCCAATTAATTTCTTTCTATTTCTAGTAGAGACGGCGTCTCACTCTTGCTCAGGCTGGTCTTGAACTCATGACCTCCAAGCGATCCTCCTGCCTCGGCCTCCCAGAGTGCTAGGATTACAGGCAGCTCACTGGGCCGACAGGAGCTGTTTGGGGGACAGGAGGGAGAGAGTTTACTCTTCAAGTTAAGTTTAGCAGGTGACAATTCCAACACCGTTCTGATCATCTTCTCCCTTCCAATTCCAGGTCAAGAAAATCTACCTGGATGAGAAGAGACTCTTGGCTGGGGACCATCCCATTGACCTTCTCTTAAGGGACTTTAAGAAAAACTACCACATGTATGTGTACCCCGTGCACTGGCAGTTTAGTGAACTTGACCAGCATCCTACGGACAGGTAAACACCTTCCCATTACCAGGTCCTCTCTCTGACGTATTGTCTGCAGCTCCATGCCAAAGAAAAACCTCGCTCACAGCAACCTCCAACTCCTGGCCTCAAGCGATCCTCCTGCCTCAGCCTCCCAAGTAGCTAGGACTGCAGGCATGCACCACCATGCCCAGCTAATTTTTTCTTTTATTTTTAGCTGGCCAATTAATTTCTTTCTATTTTTAGTAGAGACAGGGGTCTCACTCTTGCTCAGGCTGGTCTCGAACTCCTGACCTTGAGCGATCCTCCCGCCTCGGCCTCCCAGAGTGCTGCCCCGCCAACTTTCTCATTCTTGATCCCAAATTCCCAAGATCATCTGATTGACCCCGCTTGAGTCCCGCGTCTACATGTGGCCCGATCAGGCACGGCGGGTGCATAAGAACCGGGTTGTCCAAACACGATTGCTGGGCACAGCCCTGTAGATTGAGGGTGGAAGGAAGGGCAGTCCCCAAGGAAGGGAGAAATCAACAACCCCAAAGCTGTCAACTTTACCCACAAATAGTTTATTGCATTTGCAGCTTCTCATCACGGTGCTATTTATTTGGCATGAAACTGTCACCTGGTGGAAGGAAAATGTCCTTGGGATCCTAAGAGTTGAGTCTTCATGCACAAAGTACCCGGTTAACGGGCTGCCACTCGTTTCCTTGCAGAGTCCTGACGCATTCTGAGCTGGCCCCTCTGCGAGCATCCCTGGTCCCCATGGAGCACTGCATCACCCGCTTCTTCGAGGAGTGTGACCCCAACAAGGACAAGCACATCACCCTGAAGGAGTGGGGCCACTGCTTTGGAATTAAAGAAGGTAAATCCATCAATAGCCAAAGGCGAGGGGCGTCCTTTCCCTCCAGACAAGCCCTACGCCCTGCAGGGCTCACAGAGCTCAGATTGAAAGCTAGAGACAGGCCGGGCGCGGTGGCTCACGCCTGTCATCCTAGCACTCTGGGAGGCCGAGGAGGGAGGATCGCTAGAGGTCAGGAGTTCGAGACCAGCCTGAGCAAGAGCGAGACCCCGTCTCTACTATAAATAGAAAGAAATTATTAATGGCCGGGCAAGGTGGCTCACGCCTTTCATCCTAGCACTCTGGGAGGCTGAGGCAGGAGGATCACCTGAGGTCAGGAGTTTGAGGTTGCTGTGAGCGAGGCTGACGCCACGGCACTCACTCTAGCCTGGGCAACAAAGTGAGACTCTGTCTCAAAAAAAAAAGAAATTAATTGGCCAACCTAAAATATATATATAAAAAATTAGCCGGGCATGGTGGTGCATGCCTGTAGTCCCAGCTACTTGGGAGGCTGAGGCAGGAGGATCGCTTGAGCCCAGGAGTTGGAGGTTGCTGTGAGTGAGGCTGAGGCCACGGCACTCACTCTAGCCTGAGCAACAGAGTGAGACTCTGTCTCACATTTTAAAAAAAAAGAAAAGATAAAAACAGCTCACAGAATGTAATTCAACAGTGAACATCAAATCTCTAAACCAGACGTTTTGTACATATGTCTATGTGGGATAAATTTGCAGTAAAGAAAAGTAAGTTCTTCAAAAGTCAGAATTCCCCAAAAGAAGTAACCTGTGCAACCTTCACTTTAAAAATATTCCTCATACATATGTATAATGGCCAGCAATTAGAAAGAAAGAGCTGAGAGTATGACTATTTATTTATAAACAGGTGAGCAGAAGGGTTAGTCCTTTACCTCTACAATATTATTCTGCAAAATAAGCACAAGTGTTACAAGCAAAGAATGTACATTTTTATAAGCACCTAGTTCTGTGTATTATTTGTCTGTGCTGCATAACAAATTGTGGCCAAACTTAGCAGCTTAAAATCTCTCTCCCAGTTCCCTGTTTTTTTCTTTTCTTTTCTTTTCTCTTTTTTTTTAAAATGTGAGACAGAGTCTACCTCTGTTGCCCATGCTAGAGTGAGTGCCATGGTATCAGCCTCACTCACAGCAACCTCCAACTCCTGGGCTCAAGCGATCCTCCTGCCTCAGCCTCCCGAGTAGCTACAGGGACTACAGGCATGTGTCACCACACCCGGGTCATTTTTTCTATACATATTAGTTGGCCAATTAATTTCTTTTTTTAAAAAAATTTTTCTTTATTTTTCTTTTTTTTTGTTTGTTTTTTATTTCCATGTAAATCTTAGAATAAGCTTATTAGCTGGCCAATTAATTTCTTTCTATTTTTAGTAGAGACGGGGTCTCGCTCTTGCTCAGGCTGGTTTCGAACTCCTGACCAGGAATCTGGGGGTGGCTGGCCTGGATGTTCTGGCCGAGGGTCCCTCATTGGGTGGCGGTCAAGCTGCCAGCCAGCGTGGCAGTGACCTGATGGCTTGACTAGGGCCTCTAAGGTCATTCGTGTCGTGGCTGTCTGCCATGTAGGTCTCTCCTCCACAGGATTGCTCACAGCATGGTGTCTGCATCCGATTGCTTCCGGGTCAAGCAGGGAGGGAGAGAAGGAGAGAGAGAACACCCAAGACCCCACAACTGATGCCACCATGTCTTTTTTAACCTAATCTCAGCAGTGACATATCATTGCTTCTACCACATTCTGTGGGTCACCCTGACCAACCCTGCTAGACTTTGGGAGGGAGACCACAGGAAGTGGGGGACCACTGGGGGCCATCTTGGAGGCCATCTTGGAAGCTGGATGCCATATAGGATTTTAATGCTGTTAGCGTTGATATGAAATGAATAAGCTATTAAGACCCAGACCCATACAAATAATGCCAACTTTCTTTCTAACATCTATTCCACAGAGTGCTTGTAAAAATTCAAATACATCCCTAAATATGGCTAACACTGTTTTTCCCCATCCCCATATTGAAAAGACAAAACAGATCCAAGGACTGTTGCCCTCCACCCCACCATTATCAAGAGGGGAGAACTCAGCTGGAATAGGACATGTTTGTATATGCTCTTTTGTGTGGCACGTGATCTTAAAGAACTAATCAAAAAGGCAAATCTGAACAGAGGCCATTTATTTCAGAGGCCATTTATTTCATTTATTGCGTTTCGCTCTTCCTTTTGCGAAACTTGTGGCAGCTTCTCAGCCTGTGAGCTCACTCAGGCCCTGAGCCGGGCGGTTGTCTGGGAGGAGCAGGAAAGACTTAAAGTGCAGTCATTTGCAAAGCTACTAATGATGTTGTTTGTGCCCTGTGGTTTGGCCATCGTCATGTTATTCTGAAGAGAGGGAAAAAATTATCACACAATAAACCAATAAAGCAGATATTAAATATTCAGTCAGAACAAGTAAACAAGTTACTGCTTTGGGTATGTAGATAGGAAAGACACACACACAAAAAAATCTCGATTTGTAAGAAAACCCTTCCTTCCCTCAGAGTTGAGAAATTCACAGAATGAGAAGATAAATTTGAGCCAGTCTTTTACTGAATTTTAACTGAACTAGATGTGATCAAATATTCCAGCTCTGTCATTCACTAGCTACATGAATAAGGGCATGCCACTCACTTTTTCTTAGTGAGTCTCATTTTCCTTATCTATAAGAATGGAGTCCAATTAAGAGGTGGAGGAGTCTTCATTTATTTAGCGCCTATGACATACCATGCATACATTGACATATACCCATGCTAATCTTTAGAAAACTTTCCAAGTGGGACCAATGGGGTGAACCAGTTAGATCATGCTCATGTTCTATGAAGGCATTTAAAGACATTATCCTAAGAGAACTGGGGGAATCACCAAAGTGTTTTCAACAAGGGAGGGATTTCCCTGGGATCCTATTTAAGAAAGATTCCTCTAGTTACATTGTAGAGAGGCCAAAGAACACTTGAGAAAATGTTGTGGTAAATCCAGGCAAGAGTCAATAAGAACTTGAACTAGGGAAGTGGCAGGGGGGAAATAAAGAAAAGTAAACATAGTCATGATATATTTTTATTTATTTTTATTTTTGTTTTTGTTTTTGAGATAGAGTCTTACTTTGTTGCCCAGGCTAGAGTGCCATGGCATCAGCCTAGCTCACAGCAACCTCAAACTCCTGGCCTCAAACGATCCTCCTGCCTCAGCCTCCTGAGTAGCTGGGACTATAGGCATGCGCCACCATGCCCAGCTAATTTTTTCTATATATTTTTAGTTGGCCAATTAATATATTTTTTTTTATTTAGACAGTCTCACTCTGTTGCCCAGGCTATAGTGCCATGGCGTCAGCCTAGCTCACAGTAACCTCCAACTCCTGGGCTCAAGCAATCCTCCTGCCTCAGCCTCCCGAGTAGCTGGGACTACAGGCATGTGCCACCATGCCCAGCTAATTTTTCTATATATTTTTAGTTGGCCAATTCATTTCTTTTTGTTTTTGGTAGAGATGCAGTCTCGCTCTTGCTCAGGCTGGTTTCGAACTCCTGACCTTGAGCGATCCTCCCGCCTCGGCCTCCCAGAGTGCTAGGATGACAGGCATGAGCCTCCACGCCCAGCCCCTACCAGGGTTGAGAATATCACCATTATTCCGGCTTATTAGGTTGTTTCTCCAATTCCCCTGCATTGTTTATGCCTCTACTCTAGCTACCCCCTAAAAATGCTTTTTGTTTTTTGTTTTATAGAAGACATAGATGAGAATCTCCTGTTTTGAATGAAGATTTGAAAGAAATCCACCTTTCCACCATCCTCTGTCGTAACCACCTCAGAAATATATGCAGCTGTGATACCTGTAGATTTATATTTAGCAAAACGTTCGCATGTGTAAGAAGACAATGAGAGCAACTCCTTGATAAAAATAAATGCACCAGGCATTTAACACAACTTTGGAAATACATCTTTTAGGTAAAGTCAGTATATACAAAACACTGTACATTGTGAACAGAAGTGTAACTCATAGTAATTTTACTCTCTGCATCAACTTAGGAGGTAATTAGTAATTGTAAAACTTGAAAAAAAATAATGCATTCATACTATTCATAATATCATGTACACTACAAGTGGGGGATTGCTCTTTTATGTTAACATGCATTATTTTCAATATCTTAATATCCTAATAAAGAGTCCATAAAAATCCAAATGCTTATTCAAGTCTACTTCCAGTTATTTATTTAAGCAATCAAATCAGAAAGACCAACCCGGGGTTCCTACTTGACATCAAATTATAATTGTGCTTCCTAGACCCTAATCCCTAAAAAAAAATAAAATAAAATGTATGTGAGTGTGGGTGAGGAAAAAGTATGAGATGTTTCTTATGGGAAACAAATTCTCAGTTTTAAAATACTATTGGTAGTTGCTCATCAGTGCCCTTTGTCATTATGTAAGTTTAAACAGAAAAAAAAATTGAATTCAAGTGTTTTTCAACCAAATTCAGTTTAGAATGTGGAAGATTATACACTGCTTGATCAAACCGATCCTAGCTTCTGTGCAGTTGGGCATGTTTTGGGGGAGAGGGAAGTCCTATAAACGTTTCTACATGCTTTGTTACTGAAAAATAAAGGTCATGTAAAGTTAAAACAGACAGATAACCATGAGGTGTCTTGACATCCAACGTAGAAAGAGATAAATATTACTACTGTAAACTGATAACCAAAAATATGTCATAAGAGAAAATTTGTGTTTTTATTTGAGCTCTTCTTTGGTAACTATTATAGTAAAGGCTAGATCACAAAAATATAGAAGGCATCATCATAGTTTTCTAAGGTCTAAAGGAAGACAATAAAAGAATCTGTCACTCACTTTATCTACCTACAAATATTTGAAACTAAGTGGTGTTTTACATATTTTTCTATCTGAAATGTAATGCCTCAATACAATCATCTTTGATTATTTGAAAACAAAAGTTTGTTTGTTGTTAAGGACCTTACCTGTGGTAGTGGCTGAGAAAAACATGCCCCTCCTAGGGAAATTTAGCTGAAAGATACTCATGGAGGAGTTTATTCTTTTTTTTTTTTATCAGAATAATCTTCTCCAAATACCTCAAAATTGTATTTATCTCTTTTCTGAGCTCAATAAGTCACTTGTTCTCAACCAGAACCACATGACACCAGGTTATGTCCTTTGTAAATATTAATGATTAAGTTCGGTTTGATAAATCAAAATCTAATTATTATTTGGAATTTTTTTCCAGGTAGAGAAATAATTTTATAAATTATTCCAAATTTCAGAACGTTTTTATGTGACGCTAAAAAGGGTTTAACTAATTAGAAACCAAGTTCTTGGGAATAGCGAAATTATGTTCAAAAGCATTAATTAGACCTAAATGATTTTACCCTCAGGCAACTTTTTAAAAACGTTTTAAAATAGTGAAACGTGATTTTAATGCTAAGGACACCACCTAAATATTTATTTTAAAGCTTTTTTATTTGAAAATAATTTTCCTCTTTGGCCAGGCAGATGTAAAAACAATAAATAAATCTAAAAAAAAAAAAAAGAAAAGAATTTTCCTTTTGAAATGAAAAACAGTATTTAATAACAGAAAATTGCAAACCTTAAAGTTTCTATATCAGTTAAGGATCCCACGTGTATGACGATATGGAAGACATTTAATATTCTTGGTGGCCACAATTTTTAATTGTTCGTTGTTTGTGAGAAAGAGACTAACCCCAACCAGGGAGATGAAGCTATTTCCTCGGTCATCACTCAGTAAGCCTATTTCTGTGTAATTGAGATATTTTAGAAGGTGGAGTTCATGGTCTGAATGCAGTCATTCGGTTTAGTTTGAATTGTTGTGACTCATTTTGCCTCTGACTATAAAGGCATTAGTAACATGGCTTAAATGCTAGATGGGTATAGAACATCTAGGAGATCACACCACTCCTTGAGTTTGTCACTTTGACAGCCATCTGCAAGAAAGGTAATTGAAGAGACATACAGCATAATCTGTACTGACTCTATTGCACTAGATAAACGAATGTAAGATGTTGTTCTGTTGGATAATTTAATGATTTCCAGTAGGTCCACTTATAACCAGGAAAAAAGAAATTCAAGTGTCTGAATCCAGAAAGAAGAAAAATACAAAGGAAAAACATGAAAGGAAAAAAAAAAAAAAAAGGGAGGGAATAAGTTGTCTAAATTCAGGCAAAGTAAATTAGCACTGAGACACATCAGAGTTGAGTTTTCAATATTTAGAAAATAATAGCTAAAGAATGATTTATATATAAATAGATATAATTTGCCTCAGATGCTGGGACGAGTCTTAAAAAGAATAGCATGAAGGTTTTTTTCTCTCTCTCTAAATCTAATTCCAGAATCCAGTGATTTGGTTTGATACTCGCAAGGTAAGTTAATTTCAATTAAATGTGATTTTATGGGCATGCTTGAAGTTCTGACTCAAGGGGGGGACAAGGGAAATTATATGTAACCTTAACATTTGTACCCCTATAATATGCTGAAAAAAATAAAAAAGTAAAAACATAAAAAGGTTGACTTTGAGAACCAACAGCCCAGTAAAAGGCCAGCTGATTTGCTTTATGGAATTGACCCCTTACCATGTTTACTCTCTAGCAATCCATTCTATCTTACTAAATTTTTCTGATAGCATCCACACCACATGAAGGCCTGGTAAGTTTCATGAAGGCACAAGCTTCAGGTGAATTTCTTATATTTGTGTATCACATAAAAACTCTCCTCTCATTGGAGCCAGTGGGAACCATTTCCCAACAGAAAGCATGATGCAACATTGGTGTCTAAAAGATTTGTGAGCAAATAACTTCAGGGACCAAACAGATCCAGGTATAGGTTGAACTATAAACTGATTAAGAAAAGGCTAGGAAGTGGTGGTCTATGTTGGAAGGCAAAGAGTGCATGTCTTGTCTAAAGCATTCTAAAGAGTGTCTAAACAAGTTTTTAAAAATACTTTTCTATGCTCAAGGTCAGGAGTTCGAGACCAGCCTGAGCAAGAGTGAGATCCGAAAAAATAGAAAGAAACATAGATTAGAAAATATAGAATAGAAATAGAAAAATAGAATAGAAAATATAGAATAGAAAAATAGAAAGAAATTAATTGGCCAACTAAAAGTATATCGAAAAAATGAGCCGGGCATGGTGGCGCATGCCTGTAGGCCCAGGTACTCGGGAGGCTGAGGCAGGAGGATTGCTTGAGCCCAGGAGTTGGAGGTTGCTGTGAGCTAGGCTGACACCACGGCACTCTAGCCTGGGCAACAGAGTGAGACTCTGTCTCAAAAAAAATAAAAAATAAAAAAAATAAATAAAATAAAAATAATCTTCTAGGCTTATAAAACCTGAATCTGGAGGCAGGATTTAGCCTGGCCATTATTTGAACACTTCTAACTAAACCATCTATTGATGGCAAAAATAGGACTTACAGAAAAAGAAAAAGAAGAAAACACTAGAAATGATCTCCTAACGCTTCAATTCCAGGCATTTCACCTTCAGGATGAAATTTCTCATCTTGTTTGGCCTTTTAAGCACTGCCACCTCCCTGCCTGTCCCCGTGAGTATGCCCTCCTCAGCTGCCAACTCAGTTGCAGAGCTAGAGCGACCGCATTTCTGGGCTAGAAAGCATTTCCCACGTGTTTTCATCTCACAAAAGAGGAAAATTTATGTTTGGGATGCAACATTCAAATTTACATTTTTCTACTCCCTTCACTTGGGATTTGTAAAGTGCTGAGAACTAAATCAAGAACACTGTTTTTCATTTTTCAAAGATTAAAAAAAGGGCCTGGCGCGGTGGCTCACGCCTGTAATCCTAGCACTTTGGGAGGCCGAGGCGGGCGGATTGCTCAAGGTCAGGAGTTCGAAACCAGCCTGAGCGAGACCCCGTCTCTACCAAAAATAGAAATAAATTAATTGACCAACTAAAAATATATATACAAAAAA